CGTGTCATGNAAACTATTATTATTCAGTAATTGAGATTATCACTTGGTAATTAAGCTGATTTCTAGGACTTGTTGAACGTAGAATTGTTTTTAATGGACTCGGTTTCATTACTTTAATGCCTAGTAAGGGTATGATGTGTTCTTGTGGGGGATTATTGGTAGATAAATGACGTGAGAAAGTTTTTTACTTGTGAGTCGTCGTGACTGGAAAGCTGTCAAACATCTTAATGGTTAAATAAAATTATAAGTCTAATTTTTATAGCATCAACTAATCGTTTAAAAAAATATAAAGGCTAATTTGTACAAAAAGGATCTTAATAACTTTTTAGAGTTCCAATCAGATTCCAATTATGTGTATACACTTATACAATGTTCAGCGCAAGTTTCCTTGCATGAGTTAATGCATTTTCNATGGTTTCGAGGACANACTCGCATGCGTTGAATTTAATTATGTAAGAAATCTAAAAGCCAGAATTCTCAAAATCAAAACANAAAATATATATGCGAGATTATATTAACAGACCTTCACATATTTCTNGAGTCTCCTTAACAATGGTGGATCCAGTAATTTTCACTCCAAGCAACCAACATTCCTTCGTCATATTTCTTGATATGGACACAAATCCAAACCGTACTTACTCTCACTCTGTTTCTGCTCAGGTACAGTGCATATCTTCTGATGAATACAAGGCCAATGAAGATGATGATACATGGAACGAGTATTCAGATTCCAAGAACATTGCGTCTAAGAAGAAACCGAGAACCAAAGCAGAGTCTTCCTCAGAAAAATCTGATCTTGTCGCGCACGTCACGTCTTCAAACCTAAGCCGAGATAGATTGGTTCTTACTTTACTTGACTCTTTGAATGCATAATATCGTTACCATCACCTAATAAATATTACGCGTTACGCTTTTGCAGTGTCTTTTAAGGGGTTTTGCGAGATCGAANGGCTTGAACCAGAGAAGCTGTGAGATTGATCTGATGAATCCACGTGGAAAATCATGGACACTTGGTCTGAGATACAACACTGTAACTGATCAGGTTTGTATCAGAGGAGGCTGGANAAACTTCTGTTTCNCAAATGGGCTTGAAGCTGGATCTTTCTATAAGTTNAAACTTGAAAGAAACGGGACAAGACCTTTGCTAAGATTGTGTTCCGACACAACTCCAGTAGGAAACTGTTCCAAGGCGAACGGAAAAGATAATCTTTCGGCAAAACCTAGCAGTGAAGAGAGTGCTTTGACGAAGCANAACAAGTTTCTGACATTAACCTTTAAGCCTTACATGCTCAGCTCAGGTCAACTTGTAAGTTTTTTTAACATATTAGGTTTAGGGTTAATTTNATTAAGCATTTTTATTGTAATACTTTACGGATGATTTGAAACTTGTGCAGCGTCTTCCGAGAGACTTTTCGAGCGAGAACGGGATCAAGAAGGCAGGAGAGATTACTCTAATGGACAAAAATGGAGTAAAGTGGCCGTCGTATGTCAATGAACAACAAGGAGGGTTTTATATGNCAAAAGGTTGGAGAAGTTTTTGTGCAGCCAACGAGTTTAAGGCAGGAGAGACCTTCACGCTNGAGTTTGTTCGAGGAGAAGACACGACTCCTATGCTCANGTTCTGCTCCAAGGACAAGGTCAAGGTAAACCTTGTGGTACAAGTTCTTGGTTTTAGTAAGTTATAAAGGTGTCAACTTTTGTGTTAAAATGAATTTTTCAGCTAAGACAATCACCATTTGATGGCTCGGNAGGGACGGGTAAAGCATTAGGGGTTGAAGAAGAAGAAGATTCTGAAAAAGAAACGGAGACTCGGGTCCAAAAAAGAGCTCGAGTTTCTGCAGAAGGAGGGGCCTCTCGCCGCACTCTTGCATCAAACAAATCCAGTGCTGATCCAGGAATGCAACCGATTCAACCTTGCTCAATCTCTGATCAACTGACAAAGGTGAAACAGAGTATCGTGGACACTTTAA